GGCGGCGGCGGCGGCGGCGGCGGCGGAGGCAGCGGTCTTAGAATGAGCAGCAATATCCACGCGAACCATCTCAGCCTAGACGCGTCCTCCTCTTCCTCCTCCTCTTCTTCTTCCTCCTCCTCTTCCTCCTCGTCCTCGGTCCACGAGCCCAAGATGGATGCGCTCATCATCCCGGTGACCATGGAGGTGCCTTGCGACAGCCGGGGCCAACGCATGTGGTGGGCTTTTCTGGCCTCCTCCATGGTGACTTTCTTCGGGGGCCTCTTCATCATCTTGCTCTGGCGGACGCTGAAGTACCTGTGGACCGTTTGCTGCCACTGCGGGGGCAAGACGAAGGTAACGCGCGCCCCGGTCGCCCGCCCCCTGCGCCAGCCCCGCCGTTTCTTCGCGTCCCTTGCAGCCCACCTCTTTGCTCTGCATGGCATCTTGCCTCCTTCCGTCCCTGCCTGCCTGGTTCCCGCTGTCTGCCCTTCCCTCCCTTCTCCCTGCGCCTTCGGATTGGGGCAACGATCTGTGCGCCAGCGGTGAGGAGTTGACCCCAGCTGGTGCGCTCCAGAACGCAGACCCCCGCTTTAGTTTCCTGTTTATTGTAGGGTTGTTGGTGGCTGCGTGCCTCTTGGGTATGGTGGTGTGGAGTGAGGAGAAGGGACCTCGTTGGCACAGAGAAAGCTGGAAGACCCTGGGTGCGTGCCCGGTACCACTCACCAGCCGCGGCTAGGCTCTTCATGGTGGGCCAGTAGGGGCAGATCCGCATATACTCTAGGAGCTTGTTGGGGAGATGAGTTCATAGGGTTCCAAAGCCCTTGGTTCTTTGGGCAATGAAGAAAATCTCTTGCACTTGGGAATTCTGTGGGAGTAACGTGGCTGGAGAAAGTGGGGGCATAAGGGTTAATAGAAAGTTGGAAAGACTCATTTCAGAACGGGGGTCAACCCATGGAGAGTCACTTTCTGAATGTGGCATGGTTGCAAGTCTAATGTCACCGCCCACTCTATCTTTTACATTTTCTTTGTAGAACATTCCCCTACCCCAAGTACTTTCGCTGCCTCTGCACTTCTCTCCAAGGCCACCCACTTTGGGTCCCCGCAAATGCAGCCAACAGTTCCAAGCTATAGCACAAGGGCAACCCTCCTCAGACTCTGAGCGGCTCTGCGCAGCCCCTTCTTGGCATTTGATGTGGCTGGAAGTCGCCTTAAGCTATTCCAGGCAGAGACGCCCACCGGCACTAGGACTCACTAGCTGTATGGTTGCTAGGCTGACTCCTGGGTTGTGGCCATATCCCTAGAGGTGTCCCTGCCCACCACCAAGCACTGGCTGGAGGTGGGGGGCCGGGGGTGGGCAGTGTTTGAGAGAGAACTACAGAATGACTAAAAGAAAGAACTGGAAATAAAAAGAGGGAGCTAAACTGGGTGCCTCCTTTTTGAGAGTAATTCTCATCCAAGAAGACTTCACAGCACCCACATTTTTTGGAGAGAGGAGATGTGTAGGGGGAATTGTGCAAGACAGACACTCATCTTGGTCCCCAAATGTTCAGACCTGATCTAGTAAAGTTAATCCTAGGACCCCCTCAGACTTCACAGGACCCAGCAACTTGTAGCAGCCTGCTGACTGCTAAGGAGAGAGAGGAGCTAGGCTAGGGGATAGGCTGACTCTGAAACCCAAGGGCAACTGAAGCACTCTGTGTCATTAATTATACATCACTGTAGGTGCTGGGCTCAGCTGTGTTTTGTGGCAGCACATTTGTGTTTTGGAAAATACTGGTGTGTTGGAATAAGGGAGGAAAAAGGAAAATCGTCCTTTGCTTTCTCTTCCGATTACTCTGGAAGCCTCGAATGGCGGAGTCACCTTCTTGGTGATGGAGGTTCCCCCTTCCTTTTCAAGGAGAAAGATAGCTGGCCTTCCAGAGAAGCCTTCAGATTAAGCAAGGTTCCTACAGCCAGACCCAGAGAAGCCTTTTACCTGATCAGACTTCACTTCAGCCTGATCGTAGAATCTTAATCAGTCATTCTCTCTTCTCCACCTCCAGCCCATCCCTAGAGTTTCTCCTTCTCATATTAAGACTTGACAATTCTTTTAGTGGGTACAGTAGCTCACAGTTGCGTGCACCTCAATTATTTTCTAGATGGAAGTGATTTAGTTTGAATTTTTAAGAACTACCTCCTGTTTTTCAGAAAGTGAACAATTTTGATCAAAATGAATATGTTTTATTAGCCTGATGCAGCTTCTATCATATCTTTACTCTAGGATTCCCCAGCGCTAGTATAGTGCGTGTTACTAAATGCTCCTTAGAAAATTTACATACAGAATCTCTTTCCTGAATAATGACCAGCGTAGTTTCTGTCAGTTTTTTTTTTTTAAAAAAAAAAACAGGTTTTGTGCAAGGATAATTAAAAGGCAATACGTGTTTGTATTTGTATGTAGATACTTTTTTAGCCTGAAGAACAACTGAGTACACATAGCTGAGAATTTCTATACAGATTCAACCCCACCAACCTGGAATGAGAGATAATTGGGGTTTATTGAAAAGTTTGAAGGCCAAAAGAAAATAACATCAAGCTATTTTTGATACCATGAGTTCTTTAAGAATCATGCCCAGATCTCTTAATACCCACTTCTTGATTTGTTTGATTAAGTTGCGTGTACTCAGCTCACTGTATCTAACCATGGTAAGTGAGGTTTCTTGGAAGCTTTTCTTTCTACCTTTTAGGTTCTGCATTCATTTGCAATCGTTTTCCCCCCCACTTTGCTTTCCAAGTATCTGGTCATTTTGTCAAGACTTAGTGCAGAATAAAGAATTCAGCTCCAGTTTAGAACATTTGTACTAATATTCTCCCCAAGCAAGCCTTTTCTGCTTTTCCACAGAAACTTCTTTCTATTCACCCTCAGGCCTATTTGTCCATCCCCACCCTTATCCAGATCCAGCGTGCTTTTCTAGGAGCTAGAACTCTGGGAAAGGTGTCTTCTCAGCACCTGCATTTCCCGGGGAGACATGTTTCAGCAGGAGCTTGGAATCCTATGCATTTGGTCTCCAGGTCTGCACTATGTTTTTTGCTGATAGGAACCCAGGACTGTGAACATACATCTAGGGGCCTCTGCTCCTTTGTACCTATGACCTACAAATAGCATATAGCTACTGGCTTCATCATTTAAAAATAGATTGTGGGCTTTTTTTTAGGGGGGTGGGGGAGTAAGGAAGAACATTTATGCTGGGTGAAGTGGCATATGTCTGTAATTCCAGTAATGGAGGACAGAGACAGGAGGATCATGAGTTTAAATCAGCTTGAGCTACATAGTTATATTGTGTCTCAAACAATCTAGGAGTGAAACAAAATATAGCAGCAAACCTCTACCTCTGTTTAGAAAGGGGACACGGTCTTGCCAGCCCTGTGTTTTTCTGAGCTTCTTCATTGCTTCCCTTCAGCACGTCAGCGAGTGCTGGTCATTTGGCCATGGTATTTTGAGGTTCAATCCAGTCCTGAATTGTAGTTGAACATGAGAGTTATTCAGGCAGCCTGGACAAGTCATTTAACTTCTCTGATACCTGTGGGGTTTGAGGGTTGAAACCCAAATCTGCTCCCTGCTTTGGGGTTCCACACAGGAGAATGGGAGGAGAAAGGAATTGTGGGGAAAGATTTTAGCTCAGTGGGCTTTGCAACTCCCCAGATCCTTTTGGAATCTGGCTGTCGACCATATATGCATCTTTGTTCCCTTGATTTATTCATCTTCTAGCATATGGTCTCCTTCTCCTTAAATGTCTCCTGGAGAAACAGGCCACTTGTGGCTAGGTCTCTGGTTTGCTGCAGGACCTGCAAGTGGCCAGGCATAGACTCACTGATAATCTCAATCAGGGCTGGCATCTCTGTAGCAGCTAGGGCTTGATCAAGGATGATCTGCATGTTGTGAATTACCGAGGTGTTGTCTCCATGACTGTGTCCGAGAAAACAACACAATTTCTCTGACAAGCTCAGGACTAATATAAATATTAGTTCCCATTATGGTTTGTTAATTACCCGGGGTCTGGTCCAGTGTGTTTAATCAGAACTGCGGCTTCAGCACCCTGGAACTCTCAATTCCAGATTGGCCCCAGTGCTTGGTTTCCTCTTGGCCTGACGGCTGCCAGCACCAATGACCTTCACATACTCTTTTGTGGTGAGATCATTTGGGGTGGCCAGGGAGAAGTTCTCAGGCCCCAGTCATAGGGGACCTGACCTGGCCTTGTCCAGCCTGCTTGTTCTCGTTGCTTATTAAAAACAAACAAACAAACAAACATTTTGTTTTATGTGTATGTATATGCATCGGGTGCATGCAGGAGCCTGTGGAGGTTAGAAGAGGTGCTGGATCCTCTGAGACTGGACATTCAGATGACTGTAAACTACCGTGTGTGTGTGTGTGTGTGTGTGTGTGTGTGTGTGTGCGCGCGCGCGCGCGTGCTGGAAACCAAACCTGGGTTTCCTACAAGAACAATAAGTGCTCTTTACTACTAAGTCACCTCTCCAGCCTCACTGCTATACTGTTTGTTAGTTTGCCTATTTATTTATTTATTTATTTCTGTTTGATGGATAGTTTAAACTCTACAGTTGATAAACGCAGAATAAAGGGTGCCGCACACACTTAGGAGTGTATCTTTGGCTGACAGTAAAGTCTAGCCTTGTTTCCTGATCAGCCAGAGGAACCCATTGACACTTAAACTTTGTAGAATTCCTATAGGAAGTACCTCTAACAGGTGTACATAGTACCCAACAAACATCAGAAACTAGCAGGCCTCTTGGAAGTGGGAGCTGCTACAGCTCCACCAAGTGAGAAGCTGTTTTCTCTGATTTATTGAACAAAAGCTGCAGAAGGGCACAGAAGACATTTTGGAGCCCAAGGAGCTTCCAGACTTGACAGCATGAATCAAAACCTGTCCAAAGTCACACTGTGATTGGGACTTTAGGTCACTGCAAGTTAGGGTGATTGGGATCTGGTAGCTGAAGAAGGATCTAGGGAGGGGATACTTTGACTGTATGGTTCTGTTGATGATGGGGGGTGTTGTGGGTAGGCACTGATGGTGCTTGTGTGTATCAGAGATATAGGTCTGGCAGAGGGAAACATTGTAACAGGAGATGTAACTGTTCGGCAATACCTCCTTGTGGAGGGGCAGATTCCATCGATGGTAACTCAGGTCAGAGCTCACAGACTTACCTGTCTGTCCCTGTCCCTCCGTGTCCCTCCTCCGCCTACGACCCGATGTTGTGGTCACACACACAGGATGCTGCTGTGTACCCAGGCCAGCTTTTCCTTGGCAGCCTCTTCAGCAGGATTTCCCGAAGTGTGTTCTGGCCTTTGCCCTTGACGTTAC